TAATTAAGAAAATAAAAGAGATTAAAAACTAACATAATTTGGGTGAAATTGGCTAAAATGAAAGAAGAAAAAGAAGTTTTTTTTTGGAAAAAACGAGTTTGAAGAGGTTGTGAATTGACGAGGTGTGGATTATGAGAGTTTTGTGGAGTATTTGAGGGGTTGGGGGAGGGGGAACGACCTCAAGGAGGAAGAGAGAGGATGAGAAATGGGAGAAAATAAGGAGAAGGGTAATTTGCTAGGTTTTAAAGAAAATTAGATCAATGATGGGAATGAATCCATCACTAATCCATCGTTATTTAGCGACAAACATTAGTGTTTGTCGCTAAATAGCCACATGTGGTGTGCCTTTGAATTTTCGAAAGCTATCCAAATTTTCAACATTGCAAAAATTTTTTAGTGACGAGTATCAATATTGCGTTATTATTTTTTATAGATGATTCGTTTCTAATTTGTCGTTAAAAGTTCTAGATAGTTTTTTACGTCATATTTAATGACAAAAATTGATTCATTACCGATAATTAATTATAAATCTCTCTTTTTTCGATTGTCAAATATAATGAAAGCCAATCCGACATTATTTAATTGTTATTTAGTGACGATTTAAATTCCATCGTTAAAATTTGTTATTATTTAGTAAATTTTTTGTAAGGATACATTGCAGCAACAAAAAGCTCTATTAGAAGCTTGTTGGCAAAAGATAATGACCAAGGACAATAACAAGCTAACTTCCACACAAGAACCTTGAATAATGCTAAATGTTGATATTATCTAATAAAAAAAATGTGTTTATCGCTGTATCACATAGCAACCAAGTCAAAGCATTGCATGATGTCATACGGCATACATGTAATAATCCAAACTGACGTAATTAAGCACAGCCGAATAGACCAATTTTGTCCAGAAAGATCAGTAAATGGAGCCTGTCATTGGTTGAATATGACATGACGTACTTTCCAAAAAAATCAATAAATGGACGAGCATTGGCCAAATTTTTAGGTGACCATCCATCAACCTTGAAGACTACCAAGTAATGGTTGCAACCATATAGGAGGAATAACTCCGTAGAAACCGTTTTTTAATGGGTCCAGTACTGGTACCGACTCAGGAATAGGTGTATTGTTGCAATCTCCAAATGGTACAGTGACTAATAGCATTTCAATTGCAAGGTACTGATATAATATAAAGCATTGATAACAGGCTTGGAAATATTATTAGCCAAATTGGTAAAGACTGGAAGTAAGAGGAGACTTCCAGTTAGTCATAAATTAATTAACTGGTAGATACAAGTGTCAAAATTCAAATCCGAAAGCTTGCTTGGAAAAGGCAAAATTTTTATTATAGAGGTTTGATGATGTGTTAATAAGGCATGTATAAAGAAAAGGCAATCAAGCTGCAGTCCAATTGGCACAATTAGCTTCATTGTTCAAGAAAGTTGCATGCATGTTGAAGAACCCTTTGCCAATGAGTTATGAAAGAGAATCTTTTTTAGAAATTAACTAGCTGTTCCCCGCGCTACACTGCGGGTCTGATAAACAAAAAAATCATTTTAAAAGTTTTTTAATTATAATTTCTTATTTAATTAATTTTTCTAATGTTTTTTTATATTTTTTCTTTAAAAAACATAAATCATTCTTCTTTATGAATTGAATTTAACAAAAATATTAATCAAGAATTAAAAAAACTTTTAAAATATATTTTTCATAATATTTTATTCTAAAAAATAAAGTTATAATTAATAGATAAACTTTTATAAAAACTAACAAATGAAAAATATTTTCTTATTTAATGCTGATGAGAAGATTAATTTTTGAAAATATTTTATTCCAAAAAATAAAGTTATAATTAATAGATAGACTTTTATAAAAACTAAAAAATGAAAAAAAATTATTATTTAATGTTGATGAGAAGATTAATTTTTGAAATTATTCATGCAATGCTGTGGGTAGATAGAATAAAATCATTTCAAAATTTTATAATTTTATAATTAATTTTTTATTTAATTATTACTTTTTTATTTTTTTCATAAAATTTTTTGCTCAAAAAAACATGATTTATTTTTCTTTATTTACAAATTCCTAAATAAAAACTTGTGATATATAATTTAAACCTGAAATATTAATTAAGAATTTAAAAACAAATATTTTAAAAATATATTGTTTTATAAGAATATACCAAAAAATAAAGTTACAATTAATGTATAGACTTGCATAAAAATTAATTAATGAAAAAATAAAATTTTATTCTTATTTAATGTTGATGATAAGATTATTTTTTTAAAGTATGTACATACATACATACATACATATTAAATAATCGTTAGTTTGTATGAAAAAAAGAATAAAAAAAGTAATGATTGATTTTTAAAAAATTTCACACCCAATTAAATAAAAAAAGAATATGCATTGATGGAAAAAATCAAAGAAAAAAAAAGCATGTAGTGCATCTCGCTAGGGATGAAAGTTTTTATTTTAAAATTTCAAGGATCAAAACGAACTAATTTGAAAATTACAACAAAAAAAAAAACTAAGAAAAAAGAAAAAAACTAAGAGTGAAAATTACCAAAAAAAAAAAAAAAAAAACACACCTAAGAGTAAATAGTACACTCGTGGGGATAAAGAAAAAAAAAGGAGTGGATAGCACATTGTGAGGGTAAAAAGAAAAAAAGAAAAAAAAAGGAGTGAATAGGACATTATAAGGGGGAAAACAGTGTTGCCATAAAAACAAATACTTTCAAAATATATTATTTTATAAGAATATATATATAAAAAATAAAATTACAATTAATGTATAGACTTGTATAAAAATCAACCAATGAAAAAATAAAATTTTATTCTTATTTAATATTGATGAGAAGATTTTTTTTTTTAAATATATACATTTGATCTATATATATTATATAATCATTCATTTATGTGAAAAAAACAACGATTGATTTTTAAAAACTTTAACACCAATCAAATAAAAAAAGAACATAAATTGATGAAAATAAGCAAAGAAAAAACCAAAGAAAAAAAGGCATGTAGTGTATCAACTAGGGATTAAAATTTTTATTTTAAAAATTTAGGAATAAAAACGAAATAATCTAAAAATTACAAAAATAAAAAAATAAAAAAAAATTGAAATCAAAGGAAAGAAAAAAACTTAGTGTGAAAATTACCCAAAAAATAAAAAATAAAAACCTAAGAGTGAACAGTACACTTTGAGGGGAAAAAAACTAAAAAAAAAAAAAATTGATAGTTCATTGTGAGAAGGTATTTTTAAAGTATATACATTTTATATATATAATCATCAACTTGTGTGAAAAAAAATAACGATTGATTTTTAAAAAATTTAAAATTTAATTAAATTAAAAAAGAACATAAATTGATGAAAAAAACAAAAAGAAAAAAACCAAAGAAAAAGAAAAGACATGTAGTGCATAAAAAGGGACTAAAATTTTTATTTTTAAATTTTAGGGATCAAAATGAATAATTTAAAAATTACAGAAAAAAAAACTTAAGGAAAAACAAACTAAGAGTGAAAATTAAAAAAAAAAAATCAAAACAAAATAATTTGAAAACTGAAAAAAAAAAAAAAAAAACCTAAGAAAAAAAGAAAAAAAATGAAAACGGGAGCAATGAATTGTGGACATAAAAACAAGAGAAAAGAATGCGTCTGTTGGGAGTTGAACTCAGGTTCTGTTGCTTGCAAAGCAGTTATTCTTACCGCCGGACTACCACCAGTTTGTCGTGGTTGCATTACAAAATCTATAGATAAAAAATAAAAACCAAGGTGAACAGGGACGTGAACAGTTAGAACCCCACGTCTTTTAGAGTCTTAGTAATTTGTTAGAAACCACAGAGGAAGATGACTGGAGACAGCCCATCAAGCAATACTTGGAGGATCCCTAATGAATTGTTTTCTACGGATAAGATTTTAAATTTGAAAGCCTTGAACTATGCCTTGGTTCAATGATGAATTATGGCAAACAGACAGAATTGGTTATCTGATGAAACGCACAGGAACTGATGAGAATATAACCCCTTGCAGAATGGAAGCTCTGACTCAAGTACGAATGCGAAAGCTAGAAGTTGCAAAGGCATATAACAAAAAAGTAAGAACTAAAATTTTCTAGCTAGGAGATTTTGTGTGGAAAGTGGTACTACCATTAGGAGCGAAAGAAAAACAGCTTGAAAATGGGCACCAACTTGTGTGTGTATAATAAAGAGATTATGCAAATTACTATATCTATTATTAAAATTACATGCCATAAAAGAGTTTCACAAATTCCATAATGGGGCTCAAGAAAGAAATCAATCCTTACTTGTATAAGAATAAAAAGGGAGCCTTCATAAAAGGAATCCTATTAGAGTTCTAGAATTACTATCCTCTTATCCTTAATAGAAGAACCAATGAACTACAAGTTTTCATACAAAGTTGCAGCCTGCTCTTCAAGATCCTTCACTCCCTTTTAATTGCAAGCTTTGAACACAGAGAGAGAGAGAGAGAGAGAGAGAGAGAGAGAGAGAGTTCATGGATTGCAACATCTCTGCAGAAGAAGACTGAAGAGCATGACAGGAACTTTGCTGGGTCAAATGAGCCTGCAATTGCTCGAGGGAACCTCTAAAGGACCTCAATGCAATGCTCAAGGTATCGATGATATTTTGTCACAGCTCCTCCAAATCTAGAAAACTAAGGTGTCGATTGACATATTGGAATGAATGCCAGTCAGGAGTCGCATAACTCATAAAGGCTTATAGAGAAGAAGAAATAAATATACCCTATGCAAACACAAACACAAACACGAAGAAGGTGATAAGACAGAGAGAACGAAGGCAGATTAAAAAAAAAAGGAGGTACAATAAAGAAAACACCAATGCCTGCAATTGGGACAACAAAACTAGAACCCTCTTGCTAAGAGGAAACTCTAACATCATCTCTGCTAACCTCAAGACAAGATTGCAAGGTTGTAGAAGTCACATCAACCTCATGGCCTGCAAAGGCCAACCTTGCAGTACCTGCTATAGAAAACTCCAAAGCTTCACCTTTGAAGCAGCAACCTCTTCAACTTCTGTTGCTGGGATATCATTTTGGTAGCCCTCAGAATCTGACCTCGCAAGAACAGCAGCTACATCATAAACTACCCATTCATCTATGTGAATGGTTGATAGAGTAGAGGGCTCTGCAATTGTCTCTCTCACAGTAGCTATAGGATAGTAAAAGGTTCCTTTGGAACATCCAAAGGCAAACTACATCCTTGCTGATAATCCATCCTCTGCAATGATAAAGAAGTATTAGACAAAACTGACAAGGCATCAAAGAATGAATGAAAAATAATAACAAAAGAGGATGTTTTCTTAAGAAGAGATTGCAAGGGTACAGTAGGAATGGATTGCAAAGGAGCGAGGTTGCTGGAAGGCACCACAGATACAAGCACAGAAGAAGCTTCTCACACTCTTTTGAAGTTAGGATAACAATGTATAAGAGAAATATCATCATCAGAATTAGATTCATCTTCAAGATGTAACTTTCTTTTACCCTCGCCCATAGTAGAAGATGAAGACTTCTACAAAAGGGTTTCTAATCCTTGTTCTTTAATCCAAAAAGAAGGAAAAGAATGGCTCTGTATGTTAGCTGCAAGAGCAGCTTCAAGGTCTGCATCTTCTTCAGAATGAATCCTTGTAGGAGAAGCTTGCAAAAACTTTGAATCATTTGCTTTTAGTTCTTTTGGTGAGGTTCAAGCAAACCTCATTCCGATTGACCTCCTAGAAGGAAGAGTTGGACTTTTTGGAATGACTATAATTAAAATTTGAAAAAATAAAGTAAGAGCCGAAAATACAAGGACCAAAGCAAGAAATAATATGTTTTGCAAACATACATACTCTTGGAAGCCCTTTCTTGGCTTATCTGTCTCTTTCTCCGTTATTAGCAACCCTGCAGGAGGGATTTCTTCAATCTTTAAATCTTGCGGACCATCCTTTATTTCCTCAGTGTGAAGAAATCTATTCTTGGCCTTGACATTAGGAGACTGTTTCACGAACTTTTCAGAGGCAGAATTGAAACTCTTTCGAAGAATATAAAAAGATTCTTCACATCTCGAACCTTGAAATGCTCTCCCCAAGCAATCTTATGCCATAAAGATATGATTTACCCCATATTTGGTCATTCGTCTTTGTATTGTTCTAATTTTTATTTATTGAGGTTTTTTTTTTAACATTTATTAATTCAACATTTTGTTAACTATTCATTTTATATGATATATTATCGACATGTGACACTATGAGTCTCAAATGATAATATTTTTATATGAAATTAAAAAAAAAATTTAAAAATACTTTTAATAATAAAATAATATTTAAGAATTAAAAAATGATAAAAAGACTAATTTGCCCTAACACCATTATCCCACCATCAATCATTATGCATTCTCTCTCTCTCTGTTTCTTTCGAAAAAACTCAAAACTCTAAATTCCCTAAATCTTAAAAATTTCAAAATTTCTCAAACTGATTTCTTCAAGGCCTAGCTAAAGGTGTCTCTAACTTAGCTAAACTTAGCCGCTCAAAGATTCCAATCCCGGTACAATTAAGTGAAGTCTTTTTTTCTTCTCCACTTTCTTTTTCTACGTGTTTGTCCGGTTCGAAATCAAAGCCGGGGATGACATTTTTTTTTTTTTTTTTGGCTTTAAACGACCTTATATTTTCCTACTCGGATCAATTGACCTCTTGAGATTGCTTTTTCATACTCCACTCCTTTTGAACCCGGTTGGGAAAGATTTTGAATTCAATAAGTGAAGACCCTAAACCGAATATTTCATAGGGTTGACTTCTATAAGATTGAACGGGAAGGTGGTGGCCTTAAATCAAGCTCTCCTAGCCAATTTATAGTAAGGAGGAAGCTTCGATTTAAAAGCAAAGGAGAGCAGGGGTTTTGGGATGCCAAATAGGAGGATGGTTATCAAAAAGAACAAGAAAGAGATGGAAGGGCGATGGTGAAGAAGTCTCCGAAGATGAAGTTAATTAGATTCGTTCTTTTGCGTAACTTTCTTAATGGATGTTTTGATTTGGTCGAGTGGGAGAGATGGTTGGAAGAAGTGAGTTGGGCCACATGTTGCCACGACAAGTGTTGTAGCCAATATGAGAGGAGAAATGCATCGTCTCCTCTTTCTCTTTTGTTGTCTAATTTTGCTCGTTTTTAATTTTTCAATCACTATTGAGATGGAACCATGGGATCCATTGTCACTTTTTTTTTTTTTTTTTATGCTTAGTTGTTGTGATATATAATGATTAATTTAATTAATAATAAAAAGATCTACAACTATCCCGTAAAAAAAAAAAAAAGGATTTTAGGAAATAATAGGGAGGGGCTATTTGATCTTTTTCTCTAATATTTTAATTTTAAATATTATTGAAAACATTTTTTTAATCTCGATGAAAATATTGTAATTTGGGACACACAATGCTATATGTCAATTGTTGATTGGTAGCTTTTAATGATAATGTGTTATATTAGATAAATAGTTAACGAGTTATAACGAAAAGTGTAAATCAATAAATTTCAAAGAGTAAAGAGTTTTAATCAAATTAGAAATGAGTAAAGGGTTTCAATTAAAAAAAATTGAAATATAGGATAAACCTATAAAGATATGAACTATCCTAGTCTAGAGAATATTGATGACCGTAATATGAACCATCATATTGCTTCCCACGATATCTAGAATCTCACTAGTAAGTTGCTCGCGCTACATGCAAATCTAGTAGCATAAAATCATTTTAAAAATTTAAAATTATATTTTTTATTTAATTAATTTTTCTAATTTTTTTCATAAATTTTCTACTAAAAAACACAAATCATTCTTTTTTATAGATTGATTTTAAAATAAAAAATTATAATAATTTTAACTAAAATATTAATCAAGAATAAAAAAAACTTATAAAGATATGTTTTTCATAACATTGTATTCTAAAAAATAAATTTATAATTAATAGATAGAATTTTATAAAAATTAACAAATGAAAAAAAGAATTCTTATTTAATGATGATGAGAAGAATAATTTTTGAAAATATCCGCGTAACGTTGTAAGTAGATAGAAAAAAATCATTTCAAGATTTTATAATTTTTTCCTTAATTTTTTATTTAATTATCAGTATTTGTTTTTTGTTGTTCATAAAATTTTTGCTTAAAAACATGATTTATTCTTCTTTATTAAGGGATTCTTAAAAAAAAAAGAAATTCATAATAATTTAAACTTGAAATATTAATTAAGAATTCAAGAACAAATACTTTAAAAATAATTTTTTTTATAATAATGTATCCAAAAAAACAAAGTTACAATTAATGAATAGACTTGTATAAAAATTAACTAATGGAGAAAGAAAATTTTATTCTAATGTAATGTTGGTGAGAAGATTATTTTTTAAAAAAGTACATGCATTGGATCTCTATATATTTGTTTACAAAATAATTAATAAAATTAGCATAAAAAGCTGTATTTGAATAATTAGTTGGTTCATTTAAAAAATTATTTTAATTATTTTATTTCAAATAAATTGGTTATATAATGTTAAAAAAATATTCATAGTAAATAATTTGTATTATGTTAGAAGATGTATAATTAAATTTTAATAAAAAAAATGATTCAATAGTTTTTTTTATACGTCTTAACCATACTTAGTGAACCGAGACAAATGATCCGAAATACACTTTTAATATTTTAGAATAAAATAATTATATATTTATATATATGCAACTATCATTTAAAACTTCTAAGAATTCATGATATATGTTATACCAATTAAACCCCTATGTTACCTAGTGGACGAGTTGTGTCTCGTGAGGGTTTTCGGACGATAAACCCATAAAATCGTTCAAATAAATGTCATATCAATATGATTGTTCTTCAAATATAGATGCTCAATTCAGAATTCAATAAAATTTAATAGTTAATTCGATCATGTTCAAGATATTATTATCATATCAATGCATGTTTCTAAATTGAATTATGCATCTTCATAGCCAAACACTATTTAGGTATGCAACACCAACTCTAACTTTTACCCCTTTTTACCATTATAAGCAAGGTAATAAAAAGAGATTTTTCTAAATAAAAATTTTTCCATTTTAAGCATCCCGCATTCTTCTTTTCTAAGGCCTTTATAGCTTTTTTCCTAAGTGATCACTAACTTTTTATCGACATTTGTGATGAAGGTAATCGGTTTCTTAGCAAGTCATCAACCTAGAGTGCTTTGAGTACTCATAATTCGAATTGTTGTTTGACGTAAAAGTAAACACTTATGATGAATACTCCTAGTTACGAGGCAACTCAAATCATTGGAGTAGAATTCTTAATTACTTAGTGCAAATTTTCTAATGGAATGCTTTTTACATTTTTTTTTCAAATAAAAATTAGAAAATCTTATTTATTTAAATTGTGCTTAGGTTTAAATTTCAAAAGGTTTGCTTCTCTTTCAAAGTTAGTATTCCTTCCTAAATTATGTTCCATCATAAAGACACATAAAACTTTCTAGCATGTATGTATATCTACAACAAGAATATCCCAAAAACCTTCATTCATCTCATCAAATTTCATCAAATTCAACCATTAACCATCAATTATGAAGAACATCATACTAAACATGATATTTGTTTCATTTTTATTTTTAAAAAATTTTTTTTTATAGGGTATTACCTAGAAATAAACATACAAGATACACAAATAAACACAAACACAAAAAGAAAGCCTAAATGCTAAAGGTAAATTAATTGGATGCGAATTTTAAAAAATAACAAATTAAAATAATAAATTTAAAATAATAAAAATAATTAATAAAAAATATTAAAACAAAATGGGACCAAATCATAATACAATTAAAGTTTGAAATTGAAAAAAAAATACATAAAAAATTAAGGATCATATAATTTTAAATTAATTGGATAAAAATAATTTTTCCTTGGTCGTTGGATTCAACCCAAAAAAGACATTATTCGTTGAACGAGTGAAAACAACTTGGTCTGTTGGGTAAAAAAAAAAAAAGTCGAAAAAATAATGTTTATTGAACGAGTGAAAGAAACAATGAAATTGTCTTGTGTATGCATAGATATAATCTTCAAATTATCAAGTAAGAGAGAATATTGAGCTATTTAAATCCAAATAATGATCTAAAAAAAAAAAAAAGAAGAAAAGGCTTTCTATAAAACATATATGGAGATTGACTTGATAGAGAACATCTTCTCGCTTTATTAATAAACTTTTCTCATCGAAGAAAAAGAGTTTGCTGATTGCAAAGGAAAAAAAAATACCAAAATCCTTTCTACTTTAGTACCGACTTGCCTAGGTTTCTCTCCTATAAAGTTCAAGGCCTCCTTTGCTTCTTCTTCTAGGATTTCATCCTTCATATCTAAAACATGCACAACATAAAAATCGGTAACATTGTCGACTTTATACAACTACAAATCCTCATTGACTAATTGATCTACCACATCAATTCTAAAAGCTTCATCCCTATTATAATGTTTCATAACCTCAAAAATATTAAAACTCACTTCTTCATCTTGAATACTAAAGCTAATCACCCCCTTTAACATCAATTAAAGCTCCCCGAGTTGCTAAAAATGACCTATCTAAAATTAGAGGCATATTAACATCCTCTTCCATGTCAAGCACCATAAAATCAACTAGGAAAATAAACCTATCAACTTTAACCAAAACATCCTCTATTATTCCCCTAGAATATCCGATACTTTTATCGAGTTAATTGTAAAGAATAGAAGTGAGTAAAGGATCTTTCATTCAAAGCTTTGTAAAAACAGAAAAAGGCATTAAATTAATGCTAGCTCCTAGATCACATAATAACTTTTCAAAAGTAATACTACAATAGTACAAGGTATAGAGAAACTCCCTAGGTCTTTCATCTTTGGCGGTAACTTGTTGAGAATAATTAAGGAATATTCTTCATTTAGTTTCACAATCTCAAATTCCTCTAATTTTCTCTTGTTAGCAATAAGATCTTTTAAGAATTTAGCATAACTAGACATCTGTAGAATAGCATCTAAAAGAGGTATGTTAATATGCAACTTCTTAAAAACCTATAAAAATTAAAAAAAATTCTTATCAAGATTAGCTTGTGCAAGTCTCTCAAGAAAAGAAACAAGAGGTTTATATGGTTTG